GAACGAAACAATGTCCGATCCTGGGCTAACCTCACTACCACCGCCACACTTGACGCCATCAATGATGTCACCTGGCTGATCCATCTCATTGGGGGTCTTCCTCTTTTTCTCTGACCCTCCATCTTACCCAGCATGACATCCTTCTCCAGCGACTGTTCTCTCCATACAATGTGTCCAAAGTATGAGAGACGAAGCCTAGCCATCTTGGCCTCTTGCACTCTGGTTGCACTTCTTCCAAAACAGATCTATTGGTTCTTTTGGCAGTCCATGGCACTTTCAGTATTCTCCTCCAACACCACAACTCAAAGGCATCAATTCTTCTACGATCTTCCTTATTCACTGTCCAGCTTTCGCATCCATATGAGGTTATTGAAAATACCATGGCTTGGGTCAGGCTCACCTTAGTCCTCAAGCTGACATCTCTGCTCTTCAATACTTTAAAAAGTTCCTGTGCAGCACATTTGCCTAATGCAATATGTCGTCTGATCTCTTGACTGCTGCTTCCACGAGTGTTGATAGTTGATCCAAGAAGAATGAAGTCCTTGACAACCTCAATTTATTCTCCATTGATAAGAATGCTGTTTATTGGTCCAGTGGTGAGGATTTTTGTTTTCTTTACATTGAGTTGTAATCCATACATAAGGCTGTGCTCTTTGATCTTCATCAGTAAATATTTTAAGTCCTCTTCACTTTCAGCAAGCAAGGTTGTATCATCTGCATATCTCAGGTTGTTAATGAGTTCCTCCAATCCTGACTCCATGTGTTCCTTCATAGAACCCAGCTTCTCGTATTATTTGCTCAGCATACATATTGAACAAGAATGGTGAAAGAACACAACCCTGTCGCACACCTTTCCCAATTTTAAAACATTCAATGTTCCCATGCTCTGTTCGAACAACTGCCTCTTGGTCCAGGTACAGATTTCTCAGAAGTACAGTAAAACCCTACTCGGGTTTAATCTCTCTATGCGGGTCACGGAGTATAGTTAATTGTCGGTCGCTGTAGTTGGCCCCAGCAAAGGTTCCCAGTAAAGAACCATTGGCTAAATCAGTGATTTCTTAGATAGGGCAGAACAAACATGATGTATTTTAAAAATTGATAAACTGAACTTCATTACATTAAAAAAATTATTTGCCCTTCAAAGAATACTGTTAAGAGTATACAGTACACATGCAGGGAGAAAATGTTTTTAGGAGAAATAGATGAATGATAGAGAACCAAAATATATAAGGAATGCTTGCTTACAGCTCAGCAGTAAGAAAAAAATTGAACAAATCCTTCATCCAAGAAAATGTTGTAGTTGTGTTGTTTAGTGCTGTCAAGTTGGTTCCAACCCATGGTGACCTTGTATAGGTTCAAACTGACCTTGCGGTCAGTTATCCTATAGTGCCACAGCAGGACTTCATACAAATGACAAAGAAGCCTGGTTGTGGCTCCTTGAGTGGTAGACAAACTACTATAATACCATACAGTGGAACAGGTTTGGAATCTGCTTTTTTGAATCTTGTTGTAAATCCACCCTTTAGGCTGCCAGGGAAAATTGTTAACGGGGAGGTGTCTCACCAGAGATACTCTGCTATAAAACCACCCAAAGGCAAGTGGAAAGGAGAGCTGGGAAATTTGGTAACCATAGGGTTCTGCTGGCCGCCATGTGTACTGCCGAGGCCAGACACTAGGGGATCTGTGCTACAGGAAGTGTGTGTGCACAAGAATCAGGAAGAAAAAGTCTTTTCTCCTGCAATGTCTGTCTGTGGAATGCTTGCTTCAAATCTTCAGTGCCAAAAGGCAAAGGGAAACTAAAGACTAAGAGTCATTTTCACAGAGCAGGCAAAAAAGATGAATTTACAGTTGAGTCAATAAAGCAATAACTGGCATTTAAGTGTTTACCTAGCAGATGTGAAAGTAAACATCCACAAAAAGACACAAGAATGTCCACAAAACACACACAAAAGCAGTCTTATCCATAATAGCCTAAAACTGAAAACAGCTCAGATGTCCAGCAATGGGAGAATGGAGTGATATTCCATCATGTTGTACATTCACATAATGTACAATGTCAGCATTACACATTTGAATATTAATCTTAAAAGCATTATGCTGAGTGAAAGAAGTTGTATAACAGTGTTTAATTCCATTTATATGGCATTCTACAACAGTATAAACTATTCTACAGTTAGGGACTGGTGAGAATTTACTGGGAAGGGTCCTGAGGGAATTTTCGGATCTGATAGTAATGTCTTGTGTACTGATAGGAGTTTGCCTTACACAGATGTCTGCATTTGTCAGACTTGATGAGTGGCTAATGGGTTTGAACTGCCTATTGCTTGATTAACAGCTGAGTGCTTGATCAGATATTCTTGAAGAAGGTTGTTGAATTGGTTCTGACCCATAGCGATCCTGTATAGGGTTTCCAAGGAGCAGCTGGTGAACTTGAAGCGCCGACATTGCAATTCAAACTGACTTTACAGTCCAGCACATAAACCCACAGTGTCACACCAGGACTCCTCTTGAAGAATAGATAAACAAAAAAACCAAATCCACTGTCATCGACTTAATGCTGACTCATAGTGACCCTGTATAGGGTTTGCAACAGCACATCAATTGGGAACTGCCAGAAATTCAAGTTGGATTCAGAAAAGGATGTGGAGCTGGGGATACTGTTCCACTGCTGAAGCCAGATGGATCTTGGCTAGAAGCAGCCAGAAAGATATTTACTTGTGGTTTCTTGTTTATGCAGAGGTTTGTGACTGTGTAGATAATGACAAACATTGGGAAGAATGGTATTCCGAAACACTTAATTGTGTTCATGAGGAACTTGTATTTAGACCAAGCACAGTCATTCAAATAAAACAAAGGGATACTGAATCAGGAAAGGTAAGCATCAGAGTGTATCCTTTCACCATACTTATTAAACCTGCATCCTGAACAAATAAGGACCCCTGGTGGCAAAATGAATTACAAGCTGGACTGTTAACTTCAAGGTAAGTAGTTTCAATCTCCACAGGAGAAAGATTTACAGGCTCAGAAACCCTGCACAGGGTTACTATGAGTAGAAAGCAACTCAGTGGCACACAGCCACCACCAACCACCAAGCTAAACAAACAATCTGAGAAACTGGATGATGTGAAGAAGGGTGGGGCATCAGGATTGGAGAAAGACTCTAGCAACCTGCAATACACAGAAGATATAACCTTACTTGCTGAAAGCGAAGAAGACTTAAAATACTCATGAAGATCAAAGACCACAGCCTTTGGTAAGGGTTGCACCCGAATGTCAAGAAAACAAAAATCCTGGACCAAAAAATGTTTTTGTAGTTAAGTGTTGTCAAGGCAGTTCTGACCCATAGCAACCCTGTGTAGGGTTTCCGAGGACCAGCTGGTGAGTTTGAACCGCCAGACGTTGCGGTTCAAACCAACCTTGTGCCCAATGCATTACTCCACAGCATCATATCGACCCTGTATAGGGTTTCCAAGGAGTGGCTAGTGGGTTTGTACCACTAACCTTGTGGCTAGAATTCCAATGCTTATGTTATAGCACCACACCAGGACTCCTATAATAGCATCATGATAAATGGAGAAAAGATTGAAACGGTCAAAGACTTCATTTGCAACATTCATGGGAGTAGCAGTCAAGAAACCAAACAATGTATTGCATTAGGCACATCTTCAAAAGACCTCTAAAATGTTAAAAAGCCAAGATATCAGTTTGAGGATTATTGTGAGCCTGACGAAAGACATGGTGCTTTCAGTCACCTAAGGAGCTCTGGTAGCATATTGGTTACAAGTTGGGCTGCTAAACTCAAGTTCAGCAGTTCAAAACTACTAGATGTTATGCTGGAGAAAGATGAGGCTTTCTGTCAGCCTTGGAAATCCTGTTGTGAGAAACATTGTCCATACCAACAAACGCTCAAGTAATCCAATCTGTACTCATTTTAGCAAGAGTGAGATAGAGTTTTCTTTATTCGATTATGCAAAATTGGGCACCCAACCCAATAGACACAGGCAGTTGGGCCACACGGCTGACCCACAACAACAACAACAACAACAATATATCCCTAGGTGTGAATCAACAACCTATGTCTGGTCTAGCAATTTCATGTGTCCTTTATTCCAGAAGATGGACCGGCTTGAGATTTTCTCAAATTATGAATAAGAAAATAAAGGGTTAAGTGGAAGCAGTAGAAAAGCTTATTTTGGTGAGGGTGGTTGAAGACTGACTTATAGAAAATGTGGCATTTAATCAGAAACCTGAATCAAGTGATAGAACAACCTATGCAAAGAATGGGGATCCAGGATGAAGTTGTCAGGCACAGGGTGTAACTACCTCAAAGGCCTTGAGCCAAGAAAGAAAGTTTACCTGAGCAACTCCAGCTGAGGGAACTAAGGCTCTATTGTGTGGAGGGAAACCCCCATGAGATCTGAGCAGAGACTTCCGGTACAATCTGAAACCTCCTGTTAATTACATGTAGAGTGTACTGAGAGGGGAATTGTGGTAGTGGTGGTTATATGCCTTGGAGTCGGTTCCGACTCACAGCGACCCTGTACAGGGTTTCCGAGGCTGTAAATCTTTACATTTAACGGAGCAGAAAGCCTCAACTTTCTCCTGCGGAACTGCTGCTAGTTTCGAACTGCTGACCTTGAGGTTAGCAGCCCGACTCGCAACCACTACACTACCAGAGCTGGAAAGCCAGCCTAGATACAGGTGATGGTTGTGAAACCACAGGAGGAAACCCAGACAGCTTCTATACATTGCTTGCATGAAAATAAAATTCAGAAGGCAACTTTCCAAACCGCCGGGGTTACGCGGGACTCATTGAACTAGAGCAATTCACATTTTTGCATTATGCAGTATCCGTCAGTCTTGACCTAAGAGGTGCGGTGGACGTCAATTAGCTTAGCCCGCGGGAATGAATCCCCGCGCGGGGGCATCCGAGGGCCCGCCGCAGGTCTGGTCTTCCGCCGCCCCGCCGGAAGTGCTTTCCCGGCACGCCGAGTCGCGCCACGATAAAATGGCGCACGAGGCTGGCGCAATGGAAGACGGGCAGCTTTCTGATTCGGATTCCGACATGACTGTCGCGCCCAGTGACAAGCTGCTGCAGATGCCGGTGAGTGTGAAGGGTATGTGTGTGATTCTGGGCCGGGAGCAGGGGTCTCGGTTGCTGTGAGGGTGAGGGGCGGACTGGCGCCCCTAGTCCAGGAACGCGGAGCCCTTGCTACTAGGAGCAGTGCTGGGCGGGGATGGCTGCGGCAGTGAGGGTGAGTGGCCTTCCGAGGTGCGCGGGGCGCGCGGAGCCCGCATTGCTCAGCACGGTGCAGGGTGACCGCTTTGGGCTAGGCGGGGCCCCCGGGCCTTGCAGTCGCTTGGAAGCGAGCATGTGATCGTTCCTCCTCCGCCGTCCCATATGCCGCTTTTCCTTTTATAAACTTAATGGGCTTCCCTACTCCAGCACCTCAGGATGGCCCCGGAGGGCAGATTTTACTGAAAATGTCGAAATCGAGGACGTCAGGAAAAGCTCTGGTGACAATTGTTAACAGTGCTCGGCTGCCAACAGAAAGGCCGGATGTTCGATCCCGCCAGCTTCGCTCGGAGAAAGATGGTGCTGTTGTTAAAGCGCCGTCGAGTTGATTCCGACGCATAGCGACCCTGTATAGGGTTTCCGAGGAGCAGCTGGTGAGCTTGAACTGCCGACTTTGCAGTGTAAACGGCTTTGCAGTCTGCTAAATATTGCAGTTTTGGAAAACGCTATGAAGCGGTTATAATCTACCCCATAGAGTCGCTACGAGTTGACTATGGATTTGGATTGGGAACATTAGTTGGAAGAGGCTCTGGCGCTCATTTCGTCAAATGTCTGCTCTTGAATAGATGAGACTGAGACACAGATGAAGCTCATTCCTCGCTCAGAAAGCTGATCTTCCGTTGTTGTTAATAAGTGCCATCAATGGATAATAGTTGGTTCCTATTCATAGGGACTTCGCATAGGGTTTCTGCTGGGTTTGAACTGCCGACTTACAATGAGCAGCCCAGAGTTTATACCACAGCGCCACATCAGGACTCCATATTCCCAGAGGACTTCCGTGGTGTTGTTTTTGTTAGGTGCTGCCCAGTTGGTTCTGACTCTTAGTGACCCTCAGCACAACAGAACAAAAAACCCTACCCTGCCTGCCTCATCCTCACAGTCGTTTTTAAGCTCCAGCCCATTGCTGCTGCCACTGTGCCAATCCATCTCAATGGGGGTCTTCCTCTTTTTCACTGACCCTGCACTTTACCACGCATGATGCCCTTCAGGGACTGGTCCCTCCTGATAGTATGTCCTAAGTATGGGAGAGAAGTCTCCCTATTCTTGTTTCTAAGGAGCATTCTAACACAGTGTGTGTTTTTGTGGCAGTCCGAAGTACTTTTAAAATTCTTAAAAAAAAAAAAAATTTCTTTCCCAGCATCATAACGCAATTGCATCAAATTCTTCTATGGTTTTCCTTATTCATTGTTTGTTGTCCATGTTTACGTGTATATTAGGCTGTTGAAGGAGCTCTGGCAGTGTAGTGGTTACAAATCGGGCTGTTAATCTCACGGTCAGCAGTTCTTAACTACCAGCTGTTCCATGGGAGAAAGATGAGGCATTCTGCTCCAGTGAAGATTCACAGCCTCGGAAACCCTGTACAGGGTCGCTATGAGTCCGAACGGACTTCACGGCACATAACAACAACATTAGGCTGTTGAAATTACCATAGCTTGGATAAGGAACATCTTAGCCCATTTATCATATTATTTATTGGCCAGTGGTGAGGATTTTTGTTTTCTTTACATTGAAGTGCAACACATATTGAAGACTGTGGTTTTGTGCTGGCTTTCCATTTTTAAGATGAGAGGTTTGTTTTGGTTGCTGTACAGGCTGCCCATGTTACAACTCTGGCGCCTGTATTGAGTGGCCTGCAGGAAGTTGTTTAGCCTTGCTGCCTTAGTTTCCCCATCTGTACACCACTAAAGATTCATTGGAGCACGCAAAAAACTACTGCCATTATTATGAGTGTTTGAAGATGGGTCAGTCTTGACCCATTTGGTGGAGCAAGGAGAACTAGTAACAGAGGGCTTCCAATCGTCTTAACTGTAGATTCTTATTCAGTGTATCTGGGATGGGAAGGCAAGTTCTCAGTAGGAGATCGAACCAAAATGAACTCATTTTAAGCCTAAGTACTGCATTTGCTGTGGAAATAAGAATTTGCGGCTTTAAAATTGGAAAATTCCTTGGGGAACTTTAAAAAGTAAGAATTAGATTGGTCCCAATGATGTTTTGAAGATTAGTACTGCTTTGAAATTCCAGTTCCTATATAATTTCATTTACTTATTCATAGCATAATAGAGCTGTAGTTTGTGGAATTGTTTGTATTTTCTTTCATTTACAGAAAGTTCTAGGTGGAGACATTGCAGCGAGACCCTTCCAGAATACAACGGCAGCATGTGCACCAGTATCACATTATCGAACTGTTACAAATGTGGATTCAAGCGAAGACAGTTTTTCTGATTCTGATGATGACAACTCTATTTGGAAGCGCAAGCGACAGAAGTGCTTTAATCCTCCTCCCAAACCAGAGCCATTTCAGTTTGGACAGAGCAGCCAGAAACCTAGTGCTGCTGGAGGAAAGAAGATTAACAACATATGGGGTGCTGTCTTGCAAGAGCAGAGTCAAGATGCAGTGGCCAGTGAACTTGGTATCTTGGGAATGGAGGGAACTATTGACAAAAGCAGACAATCTGAGACCTACAATTATTTGCTTGCTAGGAAACTTAAGAGGGAATCTGAAGAGCATACGAAAGAATTAGACAAAGAGCTAAATGAATATATGCATGGTGACAAAAAAAGGGAATCAAAGGAAGAGGAAAATGGGCAAGGTCATCTCAAAAGGAAACGACCTGTCAAAGAGAGACTAGGGACCAGACTAGAAATGAACTATAAAGGCCGATATGAGATCTCAGAGGAGGATTCTCAAGAGAAAGTGGCTGATGAAATTTCTTTCAGGTGAGCATTTAAATTTATCCTGCCAACGATCACTTGACCAAATGCCCTACATCTACATGAAGTAGAATGGTATTAAGTGCTGTCTTGTCAGCTCCAACTCATAGCAATCCTGTATAGGGTTTCCGAGGAGCAGCTGGTGGGTTTGAACTGCTAAACTAGTGATTTGCAGTCCAGTACTGATCCTATAGTGCCAAACCAGGAGTCCACAGAAAGTAGAATAGACTCCAAAATACACTAGTAAAGGTCTTTCTTGAGTCTTTATTTAAGGAATGAACTCTGGGCTTCCTTTATTATTCAAATACATTTGCATTTTATTTAATGTAGAACAGACATGATAGCATGAAAAGATGAACTTTTTAGCAAATCTTTCTGTTTAATGCCATAGAACTTTGGTTAAGTCATATCTTTTTAAATCATTTGGGTTTTGTTGTATTTAGTGTTTCAAGCATTGGCAACTTCTAGAAAACAACCTTATTGGAATATATTTTACATGGAGTCCTGGTGTGACGTACAATAAGTACTGGGCTGCTAACTGCAAGGTTGGCAGTTCAGGCTTACCAACTGCTCCTTGGGAACCTCATACAGGGTTGCTATGAATCGGAACCAACTTGACCACTTAACAACAATGATTTAATATGGAACAAAATTCACCCATTTTAACTACAAGTAGTCTCTGACTTAAGACTGTTCCATCCCAACAACTCTATCATAAGTTACTTCTGACATAGTCAAATACAAATTCAATCTATTTGCCTTTGGGAGTAGAAACATTACATTATAGATTTACATGTATAATACACACATGTGCATGCATGTTAAAATATGCACAAAATTTTATTCCAATAAATGAAGAGTTGGATAATGTTAGCATCTTGTCAGTTGTTATAATAACTCCACTTGTGGAAGGTTCTGGACCGTTTAGATTATTCCTAGGTATTGGGGTGATGTGTCTAATCAAAAAATTAATGAGTTGTCATTGTAGCCCTTTTCTTTTATTCTTCACGTTTGAGGTGACATCTCACAGCTTCCTGGCTCTGCTATCAGCTTTAGCAAAGACATCTGTATTTGGGTCTGTGTTTTCAAGTAACAAAAAGGCTCCTGATTTCGTTTTAGAAAGCTAAATTTATACAGCTATATAAGACGTTCACAAAAAAAAGTGACAGTTGTAAATACCAATTGTCATAACTTGAATGTGTTGTAAATCTGGGACTACCTTGTAAATAATTCATTGTTTTTTCATTTAAATTTACTGAATTACACAAGCATTATTGTAAATCAGTTTTAAAACATTTCAATCTCTCCAATAAGATTCCTTGGTTCTATTTTCAGTTAGTTTAAATTCCTGTTTCCTGCCCTGTTATTGTCTGACCCACAGCAACCCTGTATAGGATTTCCAAGAAGTGGCTTGTGAGTTCAAGCCACCAACCCTGCGGTTCAAACCAACCTTGCAGTCAAGAGCTTATCCTAAAGGGCCACACCAGGGCCTGCTCTAGGCAACCACTAATCAACTTTCTCTGTTTATTGCTTTGTTGGACATTTCATGTGGGGTCATCCCATGTGTGGTCTGTTGAATCTGGCTCCTCCAACTTTACATACTGTTTTTGAGGTGCTTCCATTCTGTTGCAGAAATCAGTAGGTTGTTTTGTTTGATTGCTGAATCATGTTCCATTGTTTGAATACACCATATTTTATATATTTTTAAGAAGTGTATATATGTATGTTCAACAGGTGGGCCTTAACACTTTCTGACTATTATGAATATTGCTGTTGTAAACTTTCATATACAGATCTTTGGACATGTTCAAAAAGGCTTCAAAAAGTTCATGAAAAAATGGAATTATGCTTTTTCCTATTCTGGGCATGCTGTGTATAGAGACATTTATAATGATCTAACATCTGACCTACCATCATATACTGTCTTAAAATATGTATCCTTTAACAAAACTAGGCTGTCCCAAATCGCTGCTAACAGAATTGTTTACCTTTATACCAAGGTTGGTACAGCACCAAAATTTACATGCAGTGTGTGCCCATTTGAGGGTCCATGTTATGAGACCTAAAGTTCTCATGAGGTTGTTCAAGACCAAACAAACATGTGCTAAATCCCTGATAGGAGGAGCAGAAAATTGTTGTGAAAGTGTTGAAGACATTAGCATAGTGTCAGAAAGCTAAATGAAAAATAATGAAGCTTATTTTAAAAATAACATGAAGCTTTTTAAATTTAATAACAAATGGCAGAAAGAAGGAAAATATGGTATTAAAAGATAACGGAATTTGCCCATGCACTTTCTTGAAGATCCCTCATTGTTTCTATTCTCCTGGGCAAATACCTAATAGTAGAATTGATTAGTATATGGAAAATTTATGAATCATGTATTATAACAAACTCAGGTTTAACTATGAAAGTTTTTGTTAGCTTTAAGTTACTAATAAATAGTATCACAGATTTGCAAGTAGATAATGGTTTAAGAGTAATGTGGCTGGTAGAAAAACAGGTGTTTCCTTTCCAGGCAAAGCTATCTCCTCCGACAGTCCTGGAGGAGATAGCTTTTTAAAAATACTGAGAGAGTTTGGAATTTGAGTGCTGGAAAGGAACTTAAAGAGTTTTTGTAAACCAAAGCCTTAGCTTTACAAATAAGGAGACCAAGGACTACTAGTTATGTGGCTTGCCCAAGGTCACAGATTTAATTCAGGTCAGACCTCGGGCTGAATTCTGGCCCCTTTGTCCTAATCTAGTGATCGCTCCACAATAATATACTGCCTTTTGTTGAGAAGATACAAAGTCTAGTTGTTGTAGTACCCTATATAGGGTTTCCAAGGAGCAACTGGTAAGTTTGAACAGCTGACCCAGCTGTCCAGTGCCTTATCCCACAGTGCTACACCAGGACTCCAAAGTCTAGTTGTTGTTGTTAAAGTGCCATCGAGTCAGTTCCGACCCATAGCGACCCTGTATAGGGTTTCCAGGGAGTGACTGGTGAGCTTGAACAGCCAACCTTGCAGTTCAAACGGCTTTGCAGTCTGGCGCATTAACCCACAGCGCCAGACCAGGACTCCAAAGTCTAGTTAGGGGACTGATAATACTTCTCCACTGTTAATTCTCCTTCATGGCATTAGAAGAGTTATAATTTAGGCTTCCTGTGTTTACTACCTCATAAGGAGTCCTGATGTGGCATTGTAGAATAAGTACTGGACCATAAGGACAATTTGAACTGCATGGTCAGAGTTTCAAATACATCAGCTTCTCCTTGGAAACCCTCTACAGAATCGATGTGAGTCACAACAGACTTGATGGCACTTAACAACAACAACAAAGACTGTAAAAGAATTAAATGAAATAGTGCATATAGTCTCTTAGAATTGTTTTTACCCCATAGTAAACCATCAGTATATTGTAGTTAATTAAGGTTTTTATTCTGATGCAGGAAGCTTATGAGGGAAAGATCCTATATCTTATTTTCAAGCTCCAGACATCTCTGGAGTTGGGAGAGCTACCTTTTTGGCGCAATCATGTGTTTGCTATTACGTTGTGCTGCTGTGGTTCATTTTATGTATTCTAAAAATCATATTAAAAAGCAGTTATATATACACTATGTCTTTTATCTAGGCTTCTGATAATTTGACAATTTGTGCACTTTTATTTTGACATACTGAAGACTTAGAAAAGCACATGTTATTAGAGTAGGATTTTGATGTTCCACGTTATTTAGCAAATAAAGAAGTTATTATTACGTTGTTTGTCCCATATCAGGTTACAAGAACCAAAGAAAGATCTGATCGCCCGAGTAGTAAGGATAATTGGGAACAAAAAGGCAATTGAGCTTCTGATGGAAACTGCTGAAGTTGAACAAAATGGCGGCCTTTTTGTAATGGTAAGTCTAACTGCTTCTTTGCTTCTGGTTTCATGTTTATCTTGTGATTTTTATTTTTTTTCCCCACAAAAGAAACTTGCCTCGGATTGTTGAATCTCTTTATCATAAATTATTAGAATGTTTCAGATTCAAATTGTTGAGAATGTTGCAAAACCGAAATGAGGGTTTGCCATCTGTCAATGTAGTAACCACAGAGATGGAGAGATCCAATCCAAGCTTTATTACCAGAAAGCCAGCAGTTTGGAGGACAGGGAGGATAATCTCTCAAGACTGTCCTGTCCTACACAAAGAGCAGGCACATTATATAGGGTAAGTTACAATTGATGTGTACTTAATCTATTTTAACATCAAGATAGCATTCTTTGGAAAAAGAAGGCAATAAACTTACTTAAGCATTCTATCTTTAGGGAAAAAGAAACAAATCAACAAACTTCCTCAAACATGGGCTTTAAGCATGACCTATTCTCCTTGTCCTGTTTCTTCTTCCAGGACTATATGGTCATTTCAGCTAATTTTTAAACTTCCTCATTTGCAGGGTCCTCAAGGAGCTTTGGTAGCGTAGTGATTACGAATCGGGCTGCAAACCGCAAGGTCAGCAGTTCAAAACTACCAGCTGTTCCACGGGAGAAAGATGGGGCTTTCTGCTCCTGTAAAGATTTACAGCCTTGGAAACCCTGTACGGCATTGCTGTGAGTCAGAAGGGACTCCACAGCACATAACCACCACCACCTTTTGAGACCTAATGACTAAACTGACTCCATTTTGTTTAGCTTGGATGCTATCAAAATCTTCATCAACAATAAAGAAAACTTCTGTATACTGGGTTTAAAAAGTTACTACTTTTCCTAGATAGGAGTCCTGATGTGGTGTTGTAGGATAAGCCCTGGACTGCTAAGTGCAAGGTTGGTGCTTCCTTGGAAACCTGATACAAGGTCACTGAACTGGAACTGACTCCAGGATCCTTAAACCACAACATATGTACATAAATTGTAGTCTGTTAATACGCGTCAGCAACATACCTCTTATATGACTTACTTAGATAGACTTAGAAATGTTTAGCACAGGAGACCCTAGAGAGGGACCTTGGAAATTCAGGTTTTGCAAGTATGGGTATTGAGTTCTGGTTTTGTGGCTCATTAGCTGTAAGATTTGTCTAAATTATTTAACTTCTTGGAACCTCTGTTTCCTCAGCTGTGAAATAAGGAATCATCCTGTGTTGAATAAGGTTTGGATGAGATAATGCTTGTAAAGCACATATCACAGTGCCAAGTTGTGAATGTAAGTGCTACTGTGGTTCATTGTATGCATTCTGAGAGCCTACCAAAACCTTATTAAAAAGCAGATATGTTGTTGTTAAGTGCTGTAGAGTCGATTCCTACCCATAGCGACCCTATACAGTGTTTTTGAGGTTGTAAATCTTTACAGGAGCAGAAAGTCTCATCTTTCTTCCGCGGAGCGGCTGGTAGTTTCGAACTGCTGACCTTAAGGTTCGCAGCCCAATTCGTAACCACTATGCTGTATTTATAGTACTAAAATTTCAAGGATTATGGGGATGAATAGGAAAAAAAATATGTCTATAAAGACTTCTGGGAATGGGGAGGCAAGTTGGGGTGGGGGGAGTTATGAAACACTGTTTAACTCCAATGTAGGAACAACAACATTCTTAGAATGGCCAAAACACACACTCGTCTGGCTTGGGCCAGACCACAGGCAATAGCAGTTTGTCCCATGTCTTGCAGATTTTATTTAATTGCACATTTATAGGGTGAGGAGGAACTTTGAACCGTTTCCTTCTTACTCATTAATCTGAATAATAGTTGTTGATAAGTGCCCAGGTTCCCACTCATAGTGACCCTGTATAGGGTTTCAGATGAGTAGCTGGTGAGTTTTAACTGCCCACCTTGCTGTTCGACCTGACCTTGAGGTCCAGGGTCCAACAGCACCACACTAGGAGTAGATCACTTTTATGCTGTGGAAATAGGAAGGAAACCAGTTAGAACTGACAGTCTTGACTGAGGAAACTGTCAGTGAATATGTAAATTACAGAAGTCAAAGCAAATGGTACCAACAAAACAAATGACATTAGTCATGAATGCAGTGATGTCCTGTTTCTGCCACTCTTAAGGTATTTTGATTGTCCTTTTGTTGAGCACAAAATGATAGATTCTTCAATATTTTAACCACTAACCAGTTGCTGTCAAGTCACTTCTGACTCACAGTGATCTCATGTGTGTCAAAGTAGAACTGTGCCTCACAGGGTTATCTGTGTGGAAGTGCAGCTTCAGTCCTTTGTTCCAAGGTGCCTCAGGTGAAGTCAAACCTCCCACACGGACTCCATTGGTATTTAATGTAGTAATAATAAAACTTTACATGCCAGTTCTTGTTGTTAAGTGCCATTGACACATTTGGTTTTCACCCATAACAACCCTGTATAGAATTTCCGAAGGGCAGCTGCTGAATTTGAGCTGCCGTCCTTGCGGTTCAAGTTAACTTTATAGTTCAGCACATTCACCCACAGTGCTATACCAGGACTCTTTATATTCCAGTAAGTCAGCATGAATCTACTGCTTGTAAATTAGTCCAAATTCACTCTTTTGATAAGTTTTCTTTCCCCCTTGAACAGTTCTTTATGGAGTGCCTGTGAGTATCTAACAAAAGGGAGGTTTCATTGTTGTTTGGGATGGAGGGTTAGTGTCTATAAACAATAAAGACAGCAAATAACTTACCTCATGTTAAATGCACTGCTATGGTGTCATTCCTTAGAAGGTGTTAACTTCTGAGACAACAAAAATTGATCCAGGTGTGGAGGTACAGAGAGGAGAGAGGAGGTCATTGTACTTAAACCGGAGTGATCAGGTTAGAGTATATTGAGAAAGTGCTGACTGAAGCAAAGCCTTGAAGAAGGTGAAGCAGTGAGCAGTGCAGGAATAGCAGAGCATACAGAAGGAAAAGCTGTTATTGAAGTGAGCCACGCATGGTAGGGCTGGATGAGAGGGAAGTGATGATCTGAGGCACTTGCCTCAGGGAACTTATAAAGAGGTTCCCAAGATGTAATAATTAAGATAAGTAGCATTTTTATGCAATAGTTAAAAAATCAGAATCAATGTAAGAAAATCCATAATGAACAAAATATGAAATGAAAAACGACCTGCAACCCTGCCCATTGCACGCAGGGTTATAGTCTTCACACTAGATCCTAGCCTGGTGTCTGGTGTGAACCAGGGGTCAGTGTGGCTGGAGCAGTGCTTGAGAGAGAGAGTGTGTGTATGTGTGTGTGTGTGTGTGTGTGTGTGGCGGGAGGGGAGGATGTTCAGAGAGGTAATGTGAGGCCAGGTCTAGTGAGGACTCTCTTGTCCTGTGTGTCCGTGAGGGGTGGGGTGGCAAAGGTCAGTTGTTTCAGTGCCAGGCATCTTTTTAAAAGGATGGCTAGAGGCCATCGGATGAAACTTTTGATTGTGTAGCACTACTCATTGGATTTTGTTTTTGTTAGCCATTTTCTGGAGTTGGATGTTTGCTTTAAATGAAATAGTGCTTGGGGGATTGTGTGCACGTCAGAAGTGCATTTCATTCTGGCTGCTGTGATGAGAGGAGACTGGGATCAAGGGTAGAAGCAGGAGAAAACCACTTCAGGAGGCTGGTGCAGATCCAGGCAAAGGAAGATGGTGGCTCTAACCACTGGGGCTGTGAAAGGGGTTCAGATTTCTGAATGTTTGTAGAAGATAGAAACAACAGGATTTCCTGATGGATTCAATGGAGGAAGCAAGAAAAGAAAGTGTTAGGGTGATGGTCACAGTTTCTTTCCAAGGTTTTTGGTCAGCTTAAAGAGCAATATCCAAAGATGAAGAGGCCCAGACATCTATTTGACATGAAATGGTATGTAACAGAGTTTTTTCTTTGAAGTTTTTGTTGTGAGGTTTACATGGGAGAACATCAGCTTTACACTCATCCGGTCGTATTTCGTTTCATTGCAATGATTACAATCCCTTCACTGCATCATCAAATAACCAAAGGGTACATCACACAGGCCCGCTCCCCGGACGCAAGTACACAGCCCTTCTCCCTCCCTGAGTCCAGTGTTCCTAGCTGCTCCATCTGTCCATGTCATCGTCTCTGTCTCCATGTACAGATTAAAAAAAAAAAAATTATTATAAACTGGTTTGTACATCAGAATCCCATTTCTGCCAGGAGAAAGAGGCTTTTAAAAAATGAATTATATATAAAAAGAAAAGTGTTAAGTGCTATCAAGTTGGTTCTGACTCATAGTGACCCTGTATATGGTTTACAAGGAATGGCTGATGGGTTTGAACTGCCAACCTTGCAGTTCAAACCGACCTCATAGTCCAGTGCTTATCCTGCTGTTCCATACCAGGATTCCAAAAAGGAAAATTGTGTATGCCAAAATGTAACCTATAACCAGTGGGATTATGGGAGTTTCCTTCTTTCTTTTTTGCCTATCTTATTTTGCTACTTTTCTCTGCAATGGCTTGTTTGTTGTTAAGTGCCTTCGAGTTGGTTCTGACCCATAGCGACCCTGTATAAGGTTTCTGAGGAGTGACTCATAAGCTTAAACCGCCATTCTTGCATTTCAAATGGCTTTGCAGTCTGGTACATTAACCCACATTGCCATCTCAAATAAATGGAAAATGTATATTCACTGATTTTTTTTTCTGGTTTTGAAATTTCAATTGAATAGTTAACACATTCATATAATTCAGAAAGAATCAAGAGTATGCTGTAAAAAGTTATCCCCCTCCTCCAGCCATCTAAACCTCCCCTTCTTTTTTTATGCAAATCGTAATATACTGTGTACACTCTGTTGTATCTTGTATACTCTATTGTATCTTGGCGGTCATTTCATATAAGAACCTCTTCAGTCTTTTTAATAATGTTTTTATATTAAATTCCCATATGTGTTGGCTAATTTCTGGATTTCCTGTTCTGCTCCGTTGGTCATTCTAGTTTTAGCTCAAAAGTATAGTTTTCGTTATTGAGGACTTTATGATATGTTTTCACATCTTGTAGATTTTCTTTTATCAGATGGTAGAGCGAAGCAGAAAATTGGGTCATTTATTCATACTGTTCGAAGTCCTGGTGTGTCACTGTAGGATTAGCATTGGACTGTTAATCACAAGCTTGGTTCAAACCCACCAGCTGCTACTTGGAAGCACTATACTGGGTCTCTATGAGTTGGAACCAACTCACAGCACAACAATTACTCATATTAATCACTTGAGCTGGATTGCTAGTGCCTCTTTGTTACTATGTAGATTTTACAGATCACAGAATTTGAAAGTTGAAAAAGATACAAGACCACTTTTTTCAGAAACCTTAATTTTGTAGATGAAATCAAAACTAATAATTTTCTCATGATACCCATTTTATAAGGATCAAAATCAGAATTGAGCTTTAAATTTGTTATTTGCCTACCTCCTTAGGCCTGTTCTAATGTCTGAACCATTTCTCTGTCTAGAAGTGGTTGTGACCATACATGTGAAGAGTCTATACAGATTAATTTTTTTTTTTTTAATTCCTTCTTGTTTGTAGAATGGTAGTCGAAGAAGAACACCAGGTGGAGTTTTTCTGAATCTCCTGAAAAACACTCCTACTATCAGTGAGGAACAAATTAAGGTAAAAATGATAATACTCCTGCCTTTTGAAATTCATTATAATTTGGCTTCCACTCTGCTTCTCTCTCTTTAATTTCAACTGATCCCCTTCACATACTCTGCCTTAAATGAACTTTCGTCATTGTGTCATATCAAGTAAACCTTGTGCCTTCTTCATTTGCAGTTCATCTCTTGGACTCTGTGTCTCATTTGTAAAATGAACCTAATCATATTTGCTTAGTTGTTTTGAGAAATGGTGATAAAGAATGTAAAGATCTTGCCTTGTAATATTTTTTTGTTTGTTTTTATTGTGGATTGAGTGAAAGTTTTCAGGGCACATCATCGGTTTCACATTCAAACATTCATATACCTTGTTTCATTACATTGATTATAATCCCCTCCACATACCATCAGTTAACAGAGTTTCTCTATATCCTCTTTAGCTTTTTTTTTTTTTGGGGGGGGGGAGTTGTAATATATTTTTAATAAGTGGTATTTATTTATTAAAGTTGCTCATTTATTATAGGACATTTTCTACATTGAAAACCAAAAGGAATATGAAAATAAAAAAGCTGCTAGGAAGAGGAGAACACAAGTGTTGGGAAAAAAGATGAAACAAGCTATTAAAAGTCTAAATTTTCAAGAAGATGATGATACATCACGAGAAACATTTGCAAGTGATACAAACGAGGCTCTGGCCTCTCTCGATGAGTCACAGGAAGGACATGGAGAAAGAAAGTTGGATTCAGAGGAAGCGATTGAGGTTGATCATTCTTATGATATAGATATCTTTTGATGATTTAGACATTTTGGACATTTGGACAAATAAATAAGCCTTTTTAAAATAACATTGTAATAATAACTTCCTACTATGAATGCTCTGTTGTACTTTGCACTGAAAATCTGGAGGGTGAGAGATTGTTTTCTTGTTTGAAGTGAAAATGAGTATATAGGAAGATGAGTGACTGACTGACAGAAACACTTAACAACATCTCGTATCTGACAAAACACTCTAAAATATATGGTAAAGGATTTAATTTCTCAGGCTCATGCATGTGTTAATTATGAATATCACTACTTGATCATCTTTTTTTTTTTTTATTAAGCGATGCCATAGCATTCAACAATTTGTTTGTTTGTTTCTTTTGGCTTATCTTTGCATTGACTAATTGGTTTCAAAACATTCCACTAAAAGATCCTCTGTGGGACACTCAGGAGCCCTGTGATCGAAGGATTGAACACTAGGCTGCTAAGGTGCGTTGGCAGTTCAGACCCACCCAGTCGCTCCAGGGGAGAAAGACCTTGCCATTTGCTATAAAGATTATAGGCTAGAAAACCTGATGAGGCAGATTTACTCTGTCACATGGGACTGCCGTGGATCAAAACTTGACTCACCTAAATAATGAAACAAAGTTAAGCTATTTTAAATGCGTTCAAATTTAGGTTTTCTGTATTCTAAGAACTTTAAGGCCATTTTAAGGTTAGACACTGAAAATATGGTTATACTGATGACTTTTCCCACTGTTTGTTTGGTCAGGAGTAAATAAATGTTAGCTTTTTAAATAAATATTAGTTCTTTGACTTTGTTTTTGACTTCTTATTAACTTGGTCATGTGATCCATAAGTACTGACTATGATCTAAAGCTGTGTATTACCATGGCTTTTTAAACATCTTCCAGTGGTAGTCTGCCTAGGACTGTAAAAACTGATGTGAAGGAAGTTGGATACTGACAATGATCATATCTGCATGAAGCTTTAAATTTAAAATCTTTATTAATGACAAAAATTAAGGTAGTTTACTTAAGAGATGACACTAGTTTACACAACGTTTTAAACAAAATATGTAGAAAGCAATTAGAAACTAACCTTTACAGATTTACACGGTCATTAAAGTTGAACCTAATTGGGAAAAGTAAGGAACAATGGTTATTGGTTGCTTTTTCATTTATAAAGAATGAAAAAATAAATTGGGTTTTGGGCATTCATTAAAGAGCTTCAAGTGATTATTTTTTAATGTCAAGGATTTTTTTATGAGATTACTGTAACCAAGGGGAGAAAATATTTCAATAGGTAACTGGATATAGCATTTAATTGAAGTTATGAATGATTGTTAATCGTACATCAAGAAAGAAAATACTTGAAAATGTAAATGCCACACGTGGTTGTAAGTATTGCCAGTTTTTCTAGTAAAAGTTAAGGTTTTTGTAGGGTAATAATGCCTGAGGTTACTTTGTCTACATTAAATGAATCTTACACCCCTTCCCTCCTGGTTCTTTTTGGTCAATAGTTGTGGTTCCTTAGCATTTGTAAACCACACAGAATCTTGACTTGGATTGCATACTTGCATTTTTAAGGATCTTTAAAATTTTATCTTTATTAAAATTACTCTTCCCTCAATCTTTCTCTGTAACTCTAGGAAGTACCTTTACATACCATTCCCACGTGTTCAGTTAATAAACCTCTGTTATTGAGTCAGTTCAACTCAGAGCCACCCTATTCTATAGGCTTTCTAGACTAAGTCTCTACAGTAGGGGTGGGAGACACCAGGCCCACTGGCCATGTAAGTCTTGTGAAATCATTGGGTCTGACCCTGACAAGGCAACCGCAGTTCAGGCCATCACATTGGTGGTGGTGGTGGTGGTGGTGGTGGTGGTGGTGGTGGTGGTGGTGGTGATGTGCCATGGAGTCAGTACCAACTCAGTGACCCTGTGTAGGATTTATAGGTAAATCTTTACAAGAGCAGAAAGCCTCATCTTTCTCTCATGGAACGGCTAGTAGTTTTATTAGCAGCCAAATTTGTAACCACTATAAGGAGCTCTGGTAGCGTAGTGGTTACGAATCGGGCCGCGAACCGCAAGGTCAGCAGTTCGAAACTACCAGCTTTTCTGCGGGAGAAAGATGAGGCTTTCTGCTCCCGTAAAGATTCACAGCCTTGGAAACCCTGTACAGGAGGGTTGCTATGAGTCATAACAACAACAACAACAACACTACCAGGGGAGTTTTGGTGTGGTGCTTTGGGTTAATGTGCCAGACTGCTAAGCTGTTTGAACTGCAAGGTCAGTGGTTCAAGCTTACCATCACTCCTTGGAAACCCTATATAGGGTCACTATGGTTCAGAACTGACTCAATGGCATTTAACAACAACACTACCAGAGTTCCTTAGCTATCACGTTAAATGCCATTAAGTCAGTTCTGATTCATAGTGACCCTATATAGGGTTTCCAAGGAGCGGCTGGTGAGCTTGAACAGCTGACCTTGCAGTTTAAATAGACGTTGCAGTCTAGCACATTAACCCACAGTGCTACACCAGGACAACTTTAAGGCTGAGTTAATTGTTTGATCAAATACATCAGGCTAATCTTTTAATTAATAATTTTGTATGGCCCATGAGTGATATTATAAATTATGGCAGAAATAAGGTTTCCCACCCTGCTCTACATTAACAGAAAATCTCATCTTTCTCCTACAGAGTGGTTGGTGGGTTTGAACCACCAGCCTCACACTTAGAAACCCAAGCCCTAACTCATAGTGCTGTCAGAACTCATTCATTTATGCTAAACCAGAGTTATTTTACAGAAGTTCTTCCTCCTTTGTTGTTAAGTGCTGTCAAATCAATTCTGAGTCATAATGACCCTGTATAGAATTTCCAAGGAGCAGCTGGTATGTTTGAACTGACCTTGTTTACAGCTCAGTGCTTCTCCTACAGCACCACATAGGCCTAACGTTTCCTACTAGCTACTTAGGATTTACTCTGATCAGTTTTCCACCTTTCTATCATGGTAACATTAAGTGCTAATTCTCGCGCTTAGCTTTTCTTTATTAAAATAAGTTCATTATAAGATTCTACAATATGCATAACCCATTTTAATAAAAGGTTGGCTTGATTAGGGCTTAGGCAAGTTTATACTTTTATACTCTTAGGATTTACACTCTTCACGTGTGTATCTGATAGGATGTATACCATGTACAATATTGAAAATAGAAAAGTTATAGTGGCAAATAGGGAATGTTAATATGAAATGATTATTGGTGGGTAAGGAACTCTGGTAGCGTAGTGGTTACGAATCGGGCTGTGAACCGGAAGGTCAGCAGTTCGAAACTACCAACTGCTCCGCGGGAGAAAGATGAGGCGATCTGCTCCCGTAAAGATTTATAGCCTCGGAAACCCTATTCAGGGTCGCTATGGGTCGAAACCGACTCGACGGCACTTAACAACAACAACAACAACAATAGTTACTTAGCCTAACATTTTCTAGCACGTTTGTGTCAAATTTGTAAAACATCTCCATTTTTTAACGGCTATAAGAATGATAACAAGAATTAGCTTCCTGTAATGAAACTTATCTTCTAGTGTGATGCTGTAGGATAAGCACTGGGCCACAAGGTTGGCAGTTCAAACTTACCAGCCGTTCCTCAGAAACCCTTTTCATGGTTGCTGTGAGTCAAAACTTAACAACAATGTAAGAATGATTATGAGTTCAAAAAGAGGAAAGAAAACCAATAAAAATAACTCTGAACTTGGGCCTCTTGAACTGCTATTGTTAATGTATCTGCTAAGGGTTGCTATGAAGTTAGCAAAACATTACATCAGAAACAGCAATGTCATAATTAGGCTATTGAGTTAGTGAAGTTTAGATGAGAGTTCTGTCATTGCTGCAGTTATGGCTTCAGGAAAAGACACGTGTCCAACTTTACCAAAACTCACCAATAGCTGCTCTGATGAGACCTCATACAAGGTACCTTATAAGTGAGTATTTCAAATAAAGATTTAAAGGTTTTGGGTTTTAGGTTCTGGGTGTTTTGCAGTTTAGGTGATGATAATTTTGCATATCCTCTTGGCACTTATAAAGAAAGCTTTATGTTCTAGAGGAGGGGTGGGGAACCATTTTTCTGCCAAAATGTATAACCGTTCACAAGTCATACAAAATTATCAACTTAAAAATTATCCTGCTGTATTTAGTCAAAAATTTGTGGAGTCTTGGTGTGGCGCTGTGGGTTAATGCACCAGACAGCAAAGCCATTTGGACTGCAAGGTCGGCGGTTCAAGCTCAACAGCTGCTTCTCGGAAACCCTATATAGGGTTGCTATGGGTCGTAACTGACTCAACAACACTTAACAAAAACAATGTGATGGCTAGAGTGCTGGTGTGGTGCTGTGGGCTAATAAGCTGTACTATAAAGTTGGTTTGAACCACAAGGACAGCAGTTCAAGCTTACCAGCTGCTCCTTGGAAACCCTATAGAGGGTTGCTAAGAGGCATCACACGACAACACTTAACAACAACAATAATGTGATGTCTGGGCTCCTGGTGTAGTGCTGTAGGATAAGCACTGGGCTTCGAACCACAAAGTAGGCTGTTAAAACCCACTAGCTGCTCCTCAGAAACCTGTACAGGATCGCTATGAGTCGGAACAGACTCGATGGCATTAACAATAACAACAACAGTGTGATGGCTGGAACTGCGGTTGCCTTGGCAGGGACAAACCAAATGATCTCATGGGCCTTATATGATCTGTAGGGTGGATGTTCCCACCCCTGTTCTAGAGAAAACATAAATGAGCAGGGAAAGCAAGACTATACAGTATATTCTCAATTTAGTTACCAAAGTTTTGTGACTGGTCAGGTTTCGTAGGCCTGAAGCAAAATACGGTGTGCCACCTCCTCCCTAAAGATCTGGTTGAAATGAACATGGTGGGCAATTTGTAAAGGACAGCATATAGTTGGAAATACAAATACCAAGCCCTTGGTCTTGGCTCTGGGTAATTGTGATTTAATGGTTTGATTATGTATTTGGTAAACTTCAAACACTGGCTCTCTGTCATGCAGTTACAGTGGGGCCCAAACCAAGGACAGAACACTGTCACCTTCTTAACCTTACAACAATGCTCAAATGATTTTGTTCATCTCAAAAGACATGCTTCTTATTTTACTCATCTTCAGGTATACTGATGTTCACTTGCCACGGTTTTCATTAAAACAAGGGATGATTCCAAGACATTATGTTATGCCTTGGAAGGAAAGTATGAAATTCAGGAGTATGAATATAAAGGTATGTTTCCATATATACTTAGAATAAAAAAGTCTATACCATTGGATATATCCATAAATAGATATGTAAATACACAAAAACTATTTTGATGTATTTTCACAAACTTACAAACAGTTAAATAGCAATGCATTCAAATAGTTAGAAATGTAAAATAAATTTACCAAAGGTTTTCATAACTATTGATCAACCTTTTTCTCCACTTCATTCCAACTAGCACTGGATGTTTGTAAAGAGCTCAAGCAGAAGCAGGTACCATTAACATTAAAGCTACAGTACAGAGCATGTGTTTTTTTTTTTTTTTTTTTTTTTTTAATGTTTTATTGTGAATTATATGATAGTACATCGGAGAACATTAGTTTTACATTCATCTATGGTATATCGTTTTATTGCCATGGTTACAATCCCCTCCATGCATCATCAGCCAACCAAAGGATATACCCTACAAACCTGCCCCCCGGTCGTCAGCACACAGCCCCTCTCCCTCTCTGTGTCTGAAGTCCCCAGATGCAGAGCATGCATTTTTAAAGCTGTATTGCCTGTGCAAGTAGAAAGCCATGGGAACGATATGGCTAGATTTACAGATAGGACTGTTGCTCATTCAGTACTCACACTCGGTCAGTAGCTTCAGTACATTTTCTAAATTCAGATTCACCATTTTTCTTAAAAGGTTAAGTGTTTATTTAAAGGAGAATATATGGAAATAATCTGACTAAGAGATTTCAAGTTATGATGCTTACTAAGAAATGTGTTTAACTGATTTGCAAGATTCCAGTGGTTAAGCAATTAATCTTGAATAAAAACGTACCTTGCTATTTCATACCACTAGGAGAGCTAAGATATAAAAATAAATGCTGACAAGGATGTTGGGAAATCAGAACCCAATCTTGTGGGAATGCAAAATGGTAAAGATTGTGAAAAACAGTCACAGTGAAAAAGGTAAAGTCAATACTGATATCCTAATGGTGGTTCCTCAAAAAGCTAAAAATAGAGCTATCATATAACCCAGCAATTCCACTCCTAGGTGTATATCCAAAAGACTTGAAAGCAGAGACTCAAAAAGAGGCTTATACACAAATGTTCACTGTAGCACTAGTGAAAACAGTCAAAAGGTAGATGAAATGTAGTACATGTATATAATGGAAAACTACTCAGCCAATAGGAGAAATGAAGTCTTGATACATGCTATGGTATGGATGAAGCTTGACGTTATGCTGAATGAAATAAGCCAACCACAGAAGGACAGATACTGTATAAGCTCATTTATATAAAAAGACAAGAAAAGGCAAATACATAGAGACCACAGTTTACTAGTGGTTGGCTACCAGGGGTAAAGAGTCCTGGCATGGCACTGTAGGATAAATACTAGACTGAAAGGTCAGTTTGAGTCACAAGGTCAGCGGTTCTTGGAAACTGTACACAGGGTCCCTATGAGTTGGAACTGACTCCATGGTGCTTAACTTAACAATAGCACCATGGGTAAGAGATAGGGAGACAAGGAGATTAATAGTGATGGGAAAATGTCACTGATGAAGAGTAGGACTATACAACAGATGATTATAATTGTCAATAAATTGTACAAGTATAGCGAATTGGCAAAAGTTGTATGACAGATGTTTACAACAATGACAAAAACTAGTAGCTGCCAAGGTTGCATATTTGTAATCAAGCAATTCAGAGGTTTAGTTTCTTGATTTAGAGGTTTAGGGTCATGGATTCATGCACATTCCAGTTAATTAGACTGATATGTTTAGTGTTTCTGTTCTGCCTCCTTGTGTGTTATGTAGTGCCTGGGATCTTAAAAGCCTGCAAGTATCCATTCAAGGCACACAAAAATTGGTCTCTACTCTCCTAGAACAATGGGAGAGTCAGGAATAGGAAGAAGTATGTAATATGTAGCTAACTGCTTCCATGAGCAACTGTTTCTTTGCCATGAAAGCAGAAGAAATAAATGATTCCCAGCTATCATTAACTGAACAATTTACAAGAGTCCATAGAAGAATACTGATCAAAGAGTGGTGGGAGGAATACAGAACAGAATCTCAAATTCTCATGGAAACTAGACTTTCTGGAGCCATTGAGGGTGAATGAAGCCCAGAAACTATTGTCCTGAGATAATCTTTAAACCTTAAACCAAAACTATCCCCTGCTGAGATAATCTTTAAACCTTAAACCAAAACTATCCCCTGAGGTCATCTTAAAAATGAACGGTAGTTTAGTTTAACTAGTTTAAAAAAAAAAAAAAAAAAGCCTGCATTGAGCATTATTCTCTTTTAAGAACTATTTGTATGGAATCAAATTCACAATGGCAATGTGAAAGATTAGGTAGCAACCTTAGAAGGCAGTGAGTTTATGTTAGTGAGGGAGGAAGGAACGACCCAGAAACAGAGGATGAGAATGGTTGCACAATTTGGAGAATGTAACCAATGGCATTAAATTATACATATAGAAACTCTTGAGTTGGTGTATGTTTAGCTGTGTATATTCTTGTCAGTAAAATAATAGATATCTACTTGCTAAGATTGTTGTTGTTAGGTGCCATTGAGTTGTAACCCTATACACAACAGAACATAACACTGCCTGATCCTGGACCAACCTCACAATTGTTGCCAC